TGGGGTCCTAGAATGTTCTAGATTTTGATAAGGATCATAAGCATGTAAAAGGTATCCACTGGTCTATGGTACCTATGACACCAGCATCCACTAAAAAAGAACCTGGTGGCTTCCCCAACCGGATAGACATGATCACCAAAATTAGTTTTTTTCTCTTACTCAAAAACATGTCAAAAGCTGCTCAAGGGAGAAATCCAATGTGTTTACAATAAACATAGCTTCCAAATCTCTGGGCCCCCGAGAAGCCGTACAAAAAAGACTGCATATCCTACTAATACAATTCTCTCCTCTAAGTAGTCACAGCATGGACATCTAGCCACCTCATCCAAAACAAGAGATGATGAAATGCGTGAGTCATGAAAATTAAATATAGTGCCTTCACTTATTTTGGTGTTGCTCACTTCCCCTTTTGTCTGTGTGTAAGGAGGTGCTATCAATAGTTCATGGGATCATGACACATTCAAGGAAAATATTTCACCCTGATCACGCGTAGTCAAAATCCCCCTAGCTCATACATATTTGTTAAGAGCCTACTATGTGAGGTGCTGTTCCAGGAAGTGGGGACAACATGATGAATAGTGAGGTAATCAACAAGTCAACAAAGATAACTGGGTGGTATTGCAAAGGAGTGTCAATGTCATAGCAAGTTGGTTGGGCTGGTTGGGAAGGCTGGTCAGGGGAAGGGGGAGTGGCAGGCACTGAGGTTAGAGAGACGGGCGGGGCAGGACACCCTAAGCCACAGCACGCACGGGCAGGTAGCAGAGTTGTAAAGAGCCAGCTTTTAAACACAGTGCTTTTTTAAAAAAGGGACCCTCCATAGGGAATACCTTTTTGGAGGTCAACCAAGAGAAGGGCCTTTTTAATATTTCATCTTCTTAGGACGCATCCTGTTTCTAATTGGAACAAGGGGGTCCATGGGCCTTAGCCGGCAGTTTGGGTTTTGTGCCAAGTGAAATGGGGAGCCAATGAAGTGTGAGGTCAGGCATTGAGGATATTTGGTTTATCTCTTTTTATATCTATAATACTAAAAGGGTAATATGCTAATTAGAATGGACATCATTCCGGAAGTCCTTCTGGACGAAAGCCAGGGCCGGAGGGAAGCACAAGTCCCGGGTGCCAGAGGGAAGGTGGTGCCGGCAGCTGGGGGAAGGAACGCCTACGCTTTTTCTCTCTCTCTATTGATTTCAGAGAGGAAGTGAGAGGGAGAGAGAGATAGAAACATCAATGATGAGAGAGAATCACTGATTGGCTGCCTCCTGCACACCCCCCTACTGGGGATCGAGCCTGCAACCTGAGCATGTGCCCTTGGCCAGAATCAAACCTTTGACTCTTAAGTCCACAGGCCAACACTCTATCCACTGAGCCAAACTGGCTAAGGCAGGAAGGCCTACTCTTGCATAAATTTTGTGCATCGGGCCTCTAGTGTATATATTGATTTCAGAGAAGAAGGAAGAGGGAGAGAGATAGAAACATCAATGATGAGAGAAGACACATTGACTGGCTGCCTCCTGCATGCACCCCGACCAGGGCTGGGGGTCAAGCCTGCAACCGAGGTACGCGCCTTTGACTGGAATCAAACCTGGGACCCTTCAGTCCACAGGCTGATGCTCTATCCACTGAGCCAAACCGGCTAGGGCTGGCTTATGTCTTAAAAATATATTTCGGCAATAGTATGGAGACAAGAGTGGAATAATTTAGAAAACTGATCATAGCTAATAAAAATGGTGTAATAAATATAACAATAGATCTGGCTAACTGTATATATGAACTTCAAATGACCTTATCTTAAAATAAATTCAAATATATTATTTTTCAAAAAATTACTTCTCACCCAGCCAGTGTGGCTCAGTGGTTGAGTGTTGACCTATGAACCCAGAGGTTGTGGATTCCTGGTCAGGGCACATGCCCGGGTTGTGGAATCAATCCCTGGTGGGGGGTATGCAGGAGGCAGCTGATTGATGATTTTCATCATGGATGTTTTTCTCTCTCCCTCTCCCTTCCTCTCTGAAATCAATTTCAAAGCATTTTTTTTTTTTTTAAATTACTTCTCTGGCATACCAGAAGCTAACCCTTTACCTATGACAAGGGTGGGGAACACCTGGCCCGCAGGCCATCTAAGGCCGTGAAATCATTTGGTCTGGTCCTGCCCAGGCATTAGCAGTGAGTTAATTAAATGTTTGACTATATATAGCAGGCTCATTTTTTTTTGGTTAGTTGTTAATTATTTTTAAATAGTTCTTTATTGTTGAAAGTATTACATGTCTCCTTTTTTCCCCCCATTGACCCCTTTCTGCCCACCCCCGCCTCCCACCCCAGGACCTCACTGCCCCATTGTCTGTGTCCATGGGCCATGCATATACGCATACAGGTCCTTGGTTGACTAGCAGGCTAACTTTTAAGCTGATAATTTTGCATGGCCCCCAAATGATGTTATATCCAAGTGGTCCTTGGCAGAAAAAAGGTTCCCCACCCCTGACCTGAGGTCTGTATTCTGGGCAAGCACACGGGTGTTAGGGCTGGAAAAGAACCATTATGGCTGAGCTTGAGACGGTTTGGCAGGCGGCTCATTTCCATTTGTGACGGTCTAGTGCCACCCCTTGACCCTTCCATTCCTTGCACACTTATGCCCAAGGATACAGCTATGGGCTCTGCTTGCAATGTCAGCCTCACATTTACTATTCTTAAGGTTCAACTGTGTAAACATCAAAGAAATACAATCCTAAGTAGTGAGACACCACTGTTACCTAGCAAATCAACAAAAAGATTCAAAAATTTTTAAAAACTTCTATTGATTTCAGAGAGGAAGGGAAAG